AGCTGTTTTTGATCAAGCAGCAGTGAGAAGCATCACTGAGTTTGGAATCAAGATTTCAGATTTGTTGTGTAGTAAGTTACATGGTAACACTGATTAATCTTTAGTCTCACAGTCAAGGAAAAAAAAGGTGGCAGACACAAATTCTATTTTTAAATTAGCCTAGTGTCATTCTGAAAAGTCCTTCTATAAAAGATGCTTAGATTTTCCTTATGTTCCTCTCCAAGCCCCGCTGTACTGACTGAACAGCATTGTACTAAGGGTGTGAACTGAGAGAACTCTGTCAAAATGGACCACTTATCCTTTGCACTGTACTATGCTTCTGAAACGAAGTATTTAACCAGAGAATCACAGGTATTTGCTAACTCCTCATTCAGCATTGACAGTGAGCAGTTATAAGCAAATACACAGTTTTAAAAAAGGACATATTTAGGCATTCAATGGCCTATGAGTTTGGTATGCGACATACATCCTTTTATCTCTGGGTTACCATTTTGAACACAGCCCAGTTTAGCAGTCTGAAAATCATTACTATCTTAAGGCTGCTCAGAAGCCTATTGGAAACAAGTTTATGGTCTCAGACCAGATCCTAGCAGAATGGTGTCCACTTCACAAAAACAACTGGCACTGACTGCACCTCCACTGGCAGCCTCAAGAGAGAAGTCAAGGGCTGAATGAGCATGGAAACGTCTCATCTCTAGAGATGGTCCTTACAGGGCAGAATAGAGGTGCAATGGCAGGGCCAGTTAGCATCATTGCCTGTTCTCATGGTAGATTATTCAAGAAAGGTGCCAGTTTGACATTAGTGGAGATTGAAGTAATGAAGTCACCTTCAAAAACTGAAAAAAAATGTATTCTTATGATAAAAAAATCTTAAGTGAAAGTGGATCATTCTGTTTTCTATGCTCACGGCTTCTGAAAATGTGTCAGTTGAGATTTCTACACACCTGGGAAAAAACCCTAAAACTATCCTGTCTAATTTGGAGAAATCAATTTGTTATCCTTAACAGAGCCCCAATAAATCTATTAATTTATATGTCTCAAATACGTTTTCATAACATGTCAACAACAACATTAAAAATAATAATTTAAAAAACCCTCAAAAATTCATGGTACGTTAACGGCTTAATTTCAGCAGAGTTAAACAAGAGACCAACCCCGCAACCCTTATCCCCATGAGTAGCCCTGTCAACTTCAGTGGTTCTACTCTTGTGATTCCAGGAGGCAGGGCCTCAGTTTTATTCCTGAGGTAAAGGTACAACAAATAAATGAACCATACAATAAAATAATCAGCAGGTGTGTGTAATGAATCCATTCAAATTATTGCAGAGCTTCAGAAGAACGAACAGAGATATTTCATTATACAGCTAGGCTGTGATTTGGATTCAAAATGCTCACACAGGAATAAGGGGGAGTAAGAACTCCTTTCACATCCCTACGCAACAATGCAGACGCATAGTCAAGTAACCATACTAGTTTCTATTTTCTCCCTCCTCAAAACAGATTGGCAAGGTGGGGTGAAGACCAATCATAGCCTTGATCAAAGTAGTTGAGCCAGTAATCTATTATTGTAGGCTGGCAGTAAATTACTGTCCCAGGAAGCGAAGAGGAAGTAGCTCGGAGCTGTGTCTCTGATTCATAGTTCCTCCTAGTTTATTGCCATTTCGGCATCACCACTAACTGAGGGCTATGCCTGAAGCCACAATCCCAGAATTTTGAAGCATCTTGCATAAGCAAGGCCTTTGATCCCCATTACCTTTAAAAGTAAAAAGTATAAAAAAAGAGGCTGAAAGTGCAAAAAGTCTTTCAGTTATGATGTATCTGTGCATAAAAGGGGAGGAGTCTCCTGGTTATTTTATTGATCTTCTTGCAACATCAGTGCTACCAATCTCAGAGCCAGCATCACATGATATTGAGATCCATGAGCTAGCTGCTGATGTTGGGCATATTTGTCCCCTTGAGACAGTAGATGTAAATATAAATTGTCAGTAAAAAAATAAACACTTCACAGAATGCTACTAATAAATAAACAAACTAAAAAACAGGTATTCTAGATATCTGGTCGGCAACATTTAATACATCGGTACCTAGTCTATATAAAACATCTCTATAGATCTATATTTCTATACACAAGAGTTTTTAAAATTTTGCAGGATACTTTGATATACAAAGCAGTATTTTTGGTGCCTTTTGCACCACTTTGCTGCATGCTTCATGCAATTTGTGTCAAAACCTTTCAGTTGACAGCTGTTAGCTATATATGGCCGTCAAGCTGAGTTTCACTTTGATTTTGTTACACTTTTTTAGCAGTTTCAATTCATATAATTTTATGCCTACTGAGTTTAGAGATTTATATTTGTCTGAACCTGTCTGGACTGCAGAAAGGAGAACTTTGTTCTGTAATATATTGCCCATCGTTTTGTGAATTTTGGGTGTTTCATCACTGAAGTTTCGCAAAGTGAAAAAATGTTTCTAAGTGGGTTCATGACATTACTTGATTCTGTCCACATTGAAAGTTGGGAATAGAGATATGACCAATAGATACAGAAGTATTAACAGAAAACCCCATTAAAAGCACAAAATACATCATTCCTATTCAAAACTGTCAAAAATTTGGTTTTAACGTTCAACAAAAGGTCAAAGACCAGATTTTGATGAAACCTAATTCCTAGGTTCAAGTTTGAAATTAGACAGATTTCATAAGGTTTAAGCTTTAGAAACTAAACTTTAGAACTCAGCAGCAGCATTCCATTCTCTCTAGCTAAAATAACCCTTAACAAAAAGGCAGTTATTTTTTTATTTGCTCGTGTTTTATTGCATCTACTCCATAGCTATCTACACTACCCACAAAATCCTCCTCTTTACTTAACATAGTCTGAGTACAAAGGAACAAAATGCAGGTAGACAGACCAAAGAGCTATTCTATATTCATGCTTTGTATTAGATAATAACCAAATATCCTGTTGAAATAGCCACACTAATTATCTTTTATTAGTTTCCTCTGTATGTTTTTAACCTGCAGGAACATAACCTTAATCCACAGTAGATGATCACCGCACTGATTAACAGTTTAAGGTAACTGCTGGAGAAAAGTGATCAGAGGGAACTACCGCAGTATTCATTTTTTAAAATTTAGCCTCTATAAAAATGTGAGGTGACATCGTAGCACAGTAGCCTAAGAATTCCTTATTTACTACATTCATCAGGAAGAGACTTAGGATAGGTCTACACCGCAATCAGAGATGGCATGTATAGGAACACCTGAGCTGGCTTTGATCTAGCTAGCTCAAATAACAATGGCAATGAAGCAGCCCAGCAGAGGTGGCAGCCCCTGAACCTGAATATGTATTTGAGCAGCTAGCCCATGTGTCTTCCATGGCTTCACTGCTATTGCTATTCAAGCTAGCTAGATCAAAGCTAGGTTGGTATGTCTACGCTGGCCGGCCAGGCCAGACCAGGCCTTACCTGGGTGGCCGCTGGAGGGTTTTGGGTGGTTCTGCGGGCTGGCGGCGGAGTGGAGGGGGAACGAGCAACTCCGGGCAAGTCCGCCCAAGGGCCGGGGGTGCCTCCTGCAGTTTAGGGGGCTCTGGGTCCCCTGTGGAGGAAGCCAGGGGAGCTGAAAACACCACACCATTTAAAAAACCAACACCTTCTTTCAGAACTGATCACCAACATCGGAAGGTAGGCAAATGCGTTTGCTAGCTGTTAGAGATGACACGGCCACCAAGCAATATTATTATCAGCTTTTATATTACGTGGAATACAATGTGCCTGATTTGATCTCACTTACACTAGTGCAACCCTATTTAATTCACTGGAATTACTCCTGATCTACACAGTTGTAAATAAGTTCAGAATCAAGCCCAATGAGGTTGCACTGATATAAATGCTGACTTCAATGTGATGTGGGGGGCTGCTGCTTCCTCTTCTCCCTATGCCCCTGCTGCTCCCCTTTTTTGTGCTGTAGGGAGGCAGAGAAGGGTATTTCATGCTGCATCGGGGCACCAGAACCTGACCAAGCAACTAGGCAAATGGTGGAGCTGACAGCTGTGGTTCATGGGATGCTATTAATATCTAACAAAAAGAATGAGGAGTATTTGTGGCACCTTAGAGACTAACAAATTCATTTGGGCATAAGCTTTTGTGGGCTAAAACCCACTAGAGCTCCTGATAAGAAACAGCAGTGCTTCCTCTTAGACAGGAGTGGATTGGACCCTGGAAAATGGATCAGGGTGGTCTCCTTTATCCTTTTCCCCACCAGTAGAGAGGAGGACTGAGATTACCTGGCCACCCTGGGCCAAGTTTGTTTTAGTTTAACTACCATAACTGAAATGGAACCATGCAAGACCAAATGTCTGCCAGGAAGATTGCCCTCGAAGAGCTGTTTTATGTGGGCTGGCTCTTTTTACTGGTTTGGGTTTTTTTTCATGTGGTCTTAAAAGGGTGGGTTATCTCAGGCCCAAGGGGTGGGGAAGCAATTCTAGCCAAGGTTCCATTAGGCAGCATTTTTTGAACTAGTCCCAGTTGTGAACATGACAGTATTGTTTGGAGTGTATTTTGGAAGCTTTTAGTGTTCTACGGAAAGTCTGTCATTTAGAAAAGCATTCCAGACAAATTCACTGCGGGATAATCTACTGAGAGAGAGACCCTTCTTCACCCTCCCTGCCTTATTCTCAAGTGATTGCTGCAAAATGGCTGGCCACCTTATAACCATCGGTGCTTACGTTAGTAATCTAGATACTTAACCATCACACCCCTTATGCAGACTAAATCCAATTAGTGCTTGTTGGTTTATCACTCCAGCAAAGCAGATTTAGAATAAAACATTCCTGGCCCAAAGGAATCCTTAACAACAACTTCTAGACACTCCAGAGTATTCTGTCTCTTAGGTCTTTCACCTCATCATTGTTAACTGCTGACAAAGAGAGGGAATAGGAGGAAAGGTCAAGTCAGGGTTTCCGTCCAGCTGTTCTTTACCGGGCAATGGTACAATAGGCACCTACCTAGCCTGCTGGCAGACATTGCAGAGCCATGCCTTGTCCTTCTTCTGATAGGAGCTGCAGTTCTTGCAGATGTTGTATTTGCAGTCTTGGCACTGACGCTTGCTATTGATGAGAAATGTAAAAGGAGAGCAACAGCGAATGCAACAGCGCTCAGTAAACTTCTGCTGCTTAGAAAGGATGCTGCACTTGTTACCCTCTTCGTCAAGTTTCTGCTTCATTTCGCTGGAACCAAAAAGAAGGAACAAAACGACAAATCAAAACAGTACTCCATTTGGAGTTCCCTGTGTACATCATATAGCCCCCTTCCTACAACCGCATCAGGCCCCCAAAACAACCTTCTATGGAAAAAATGCATGACAGAAATGCATAGTCTGGCCACAGGACAGGGAATCAGGAGCGTCTGCATTCTAATCATGCCTCTAACTGTGCACTTGGGCAAGTCACCAACTCTCTGGACCATGCTCTGGAGCAAACCATATGACTTCACACAGTTAAACTGATGTAACAGAGGAGAATGTGGGCCTCTTCTTCACTTAATAATTAGTAGGGTTTTTTTTGAAGATTCGTTGCTGTTTTTAGAATGCTTTGAAGATGAAAACCACTGTACAAAAGTGAAAGGGCTGGCTGGACATTATTTAAAAAAAACTGATCAGATTCATGGGGTTATATTATTAATAAGAGCCCCAATTCAGCCAATCACTTAATTACATGCTCAACTTCAATGAAATTTAAACAGTTTGCTGAATCAGGGCAAATATTTGACCAACTACTTGTTATCAGTTAAAATGTTTCCAAACCCTGAAAGCTCCATAAGCTTTGGCACAAGTGCATACTCATCCAAAAATTCATACCAGAGGTGTGATATTCATTATTTGCTATTCTACTATTTAAAACGTATTGGCCATCCAATCAAAGAGTGAAAACAATAACATGTGACTTAAGTGACTGACCACAAAATACAAACGGCAAACAGCATATAATTAAAGTGAGCAGTTTGTAAATACTGTGTAGGCTGCAAAATAGTCAATGAAATTATTCAGCGAATACTTAAGATCAATGCATACACTACAAGAAAATCAGGATTGTTTCGTGACCAATTTCCTAAATAAAAATGGCCTACATTTATATAGAATAATACTATAATGAATAGTTTGGCCACTTCTAATGACTGATCTTTATTATTTAGTATGACCAGGATAACATAGGATAACGTCAAAAATTCATTTAAAGCAGGACATGTTGATTAATATACAGGAAAACAATCATGAGTCATTGACTTTAATTTAAATTAACACTTTTTTATTACACCATTGCTAAAAGAAAAGATAAAAATATGTATTTGATAGTGCATATGTATTCAGACATTGGTTTAAGATTCAGTACATAAATCATTGTAAACAAAGCTTGGAATGTTTCTAAAAAGCCCTCAGTACGGTGCTATTCATCTTTCTATCTGCCATTTCCACCTCTCAAATTCATAACTCAAAGTGAAAACAGTCCATTTTGTGAAAACCTTACAAACCAATTCTAAAGTTAAAGTCTAAAAGGAATGCAATTACAACAGTGATATAGAAAGTATATTTTCCAAATTACACAGACCTTAGTATTAAATTGAGTTCTGTGTGCACATGAGATGTTTTGAATATTTAACACCACGGACCTACTCAGCCACTGGTGGTATTGATCCATCTCGGAGCAGCTGAAGAATACAGTATTGCTTAGTTACACCAGATAGGCAGATCAAGCATAAGAAGAAAGTCTATGCAGTTCCAAAGGAAAAGCTTATTTTATTTAAGACATTTGTTTTCCAGGAGGAATTATTTATTTCTGTGAATGTCCAGTAGAAATATCACAGTTCAAACAAACATGAGAACATCACTTACAGGGACAAGTTAAGTGAATACTGTTTGTTTAGCCTGAGTAAACTGGAGCAAATTAATTCCTGGGATAACACCACAAACTCAGTAGGTATGCTAGGGATAAATTTGGCTCACTATGTTTAAAGAGTGAGCATGAAGACTGTATTTAAAAAGGGGGAAATGTAAAGGGAGGAAAACCATTTGTAGTATTGTGGTTAGTCATTACACTGCCACACAAAGGGAAGGAAGAAAGGAAGCTCCACACCAAAATTGTCTTTTTCAATTTGTGATTCATTTGTAAGAATCTTTAATATAAAGGAGGCAAAGGTATCCAAAATGTCTACCATCAAATCTAACTCTGCCACAGAACTTTGTTATAGAATTGTGTATTTTAGAAAATAGAAATGTACACTTATATTGTCAGACTAAAATTCATTCCTTCTTCTGATTGAACCAAAAGGCATTGTTGTGACAGTTTATGTAAAAAAATATGTATTTAACTTCAGTCACTGCTTTGGGTAGTGGATGTTTTCTGGCATGTCATCCTACACAAAAGCCAGTTTAGGAACATTATTTAGCATAATGCTTTTGTTCTAATTCTCTCGATTAAATTTTGATTGATGGTCCCCTTCCTCTTTTTCTTTTTGCATACTGTGTAAAAAACATTCATTGTCACTGCCATGCTTCAATTTGTTTTTAATGTCCTGAAGGAGTGTAGCCAGCTTTATAAAAAAAAAAAAAAAAGGCCAGATTTGTAGATTGACTATCTAATACTAAGATTTATGATCTGTTACAGTAGGTATCTTGGTGCTCTGAAGATATGTAGTGCAAATCAGATTATACAGATTAGAGGTACTTGTAATTTGGAAACCAATCGAATGCAGTCATAACAACATACTTGTGATGAAAGAGCCAGCGCTAGAGGTAAGAATGAGACCAGGAGTCAGCACTCCTGGATTTTCTTCCCAATTCTGCCATTTATTTGCCGAGTGACTTTGGACATATCACTAAATTCTCTATGCTTCACTTTACCCATCTTTAAAATAGATATAATAATACTGATTGTATCTAAACCCTGTGGGTGATAGGAAGAGCAAAATTGTGATCCTTATATGAAAGGTACTAGTTCAAAATATGTTGCTTCATTTCCCACGAGTTGTCATAAAACCTATCTAGTCTGCTTTATAGGATCCCCCTCCCACAACGATAGCATCTGAGTGACTGATCCAAATATCAGTCTGTTCCATCACCAATACAGTATGCAGGCAACTGAGTTATCATTACTAAGTATGATTTTCTTTGTGTGCAGTACCATAATCCTTACTGTTAGGGGTCACCAGCCTGAAAAGGCTGAGAAAAAACTGCTCTAGCTCAGAGGTTCTCAAGCTATTTACCATTGTGGGCACAAACAATCCTGAATTGGTTCTTCTCGCTATTTCCCACAGCAGTCTATCCTCTAGGAAATTGTGCCGGCTCTTGTTGCAGCTCTGCAAATCCAGAGGATCATGCACTCCGTGCTTGCAACACTCACGACAATCGTGCAGAGCTGTGTAAGCTCCATACTTTTGTCAGAGCTGGTGGACAGCAACAAATCCCCTGCAGGTTACTGGGATTTTAAAAATAAACATAAAAAGCATGGGATAGGCATGGCATTATGGGACAGAGAAAGTTGCATGATGGGAACTTGACCCCGCAGAGCCAGTCTCCCACACGTGGCTCATTTCTGCCCCACCCTGCATTGCCAAAACTTCCCAAAAGACAATGGCGAGTTACACACTGGGATACTTACCCATGCACTGACACAAGAACTCCTATTGAGTATGCACCGCACCGACGCAAGGAGCCAAGTGCACACACACACACACACTAGACTAACTGCAGCGTAACTCGCGTCATCAGAAGTTTGTAATATAGACATGCCCTTAGAAAGGTTTTCCTAATATCTAACCTAAATCTCCCTTGCTGCAAAGGAAAGGGCTTAATCTGCAGCAAGAGACAGATTTAAGTTAGATATTAGGAAAAACTTTCCAACTGTACGAGTAGTTAAGCTCTGGAATAGGCTGCCAAGGGAGGTTGTGGAATCCCCATCACTGGAGGTTTTTAAGAGCAGGCTGGACAAACAGCTGACAAGGATGGTCTAGATCAGAGATTCTTAAACTGTGGTCCGCGGACAACCAGTGGTCCGAGAGCTCCATTCCAGTGGTCCGCGGATAGTTCCCTCTAAGGTGCGCACCTGGGCGGCTGCACACGAGAGAATGAAGGGCCGCTAATTAGGTACCTGGACCCTGGAGAAGACGCACATGTAAGGTGAGGTGGTGGCCTTGGCGGGGGAGAACAGACAGTAGGCGGGAGGGGGCAGTGGGGTGAGAAGACGGGGTGGAGGGAATTTGGAACGTGCAGGGCTGCAGCGGCCAGAGAAAGAGGCGACTTTCCCCAGCTCCAGGGCTGTGGCTGCCAGGGAAAGATGGCCCTCCTGCCCAGGCTCAGCTCTGTGGCAGGGGAGAGAGGGAGAGACCCCCCAACTCTTCCCAGCTCAGGGGCTACCGCGGTGGGGGAGAGAGGGCACATCCATCATATTAGAAAGGTGAGACTACCGATATTAAAATATGAGTTATGTGCTTTATTTGTAGCACAAAAAAACATTAATTATTATAAAGGTTTTTATTATAGCGCTTTTATCCAAAGCACTTTACAATAGTTAACTAACGGTACAAACAGCATTTGGAAAGATCATTGCAGTGGTTCGCCGAGACTCTCAGCAATTTTCAAGTGGTCAATGGAAAAAAAGTTTGAGAACCACTGCGCTAGGTTCAATTGGTCCCACCTCAGCACAGCAAGTTGAACTCGATGACTTCTCGAGCGCTAATGTACGATTCTATGAAAATGCAGGAACAAATTCAGCCCTAATGTACTGGAATAAGTGGGGATGCTGAGGTGCAAATCAGGGCCAAATATGGCTCACAGGTAGCAAGTTACTAATTCCTTGCACATTATCAGTTCTAACTATTTCCCTGTGCAGCTTTTTGAATTAATTGGAAGAGTCCATATGCACTTACCTTCTCTGTACTGAATGATAGCAATAGATGTGAGCAACACAGTAACTATGCTATAAAAATAGGATTGTACATATTTAAATCAATCCCTGAGTTTGCCCTATATTGAATAGGCATATCTGAATAACGATATGAAATACAGGAAAAAGTCAAAAACACATATTGTTTAGATCTACTGAATCCCTTGATAAACATGCCCAGGCATGTTCTATCTGTTGTCGTATCAGCATACTCGATTTCTGAATTTGTATAGTAACCCGCAAAAGAAGACAGTGTTAGTGTGCACACACACACACAGCAGTCTGCATTT